TACTGGGGATTGATTGAACTCGGGTCCTTGTGCTTGCAAGGCAGGCCGCTGAACCACTGAGCTAAATCCCCGGCCCCAGTTGGTCAGCTCTTAGCTGTGTGACTTTAATTACTAAAGTGTGCTTGAGTGTGCTTCATATTTCTTTGAAATGTCCACAATGTTACATGTCTTAGAGGGCTAAATGTTAGTATTAGTGCATAAAGAACATGCAAGTTGAATATCATGAATGAAATACAGATGAAATAGGAATGGGAGGAGAAAATATTCCTAGCGGAGTTTGCTTATTTCTCCTCATTATCTGATGTATTTTAAGTCCAGAGCGTGAATACCGTTAGACTAGTCTTTAGGGTAGCAGGAGTAGTTGTTTTTGGGCCCTTCTGGAAGGAACTTTTTCAGCTTCAACCACATATTCACTGCCTGCTATTTCATGATTGTGGTTTCTAATGCCCAAGGTTTTAGAATGTTGGTCCTCAACCTATGTGCATAGGAGCTCATCAGAATCTCTGATGTGCCAGAGAGGGAGAGGTGATTTGAAAATGACCCTTAGGAAAGGTATGTCCAAAGTCCTCTAATTCTCTTTCCCTGAGAACTGTTTTAGAGTCCTTATTAAAATGCTAATATTCTATTGGGAAGAGGTCACACCTAAAGGAAAGCAGAATTACAAATAGGAAATTGAAGAGAGAGTGTGAAAGAAATTAGGAAGAGAAAAAAAAATGTTAAGAAATCATGTGAATGGGCAGATAAACTGTTGGATATGTGTATGGGTTATCTTAGTTCACAGATGTACTTTTAGCATGACCCTGATTCACCTTTTTACATAAATGTACAAGACTAATAATTAACCTCTTTCAGAGAAGACTCACCCAGCCACGTCACCTAGGAGGAAAATGCCAGCCCAGAAGGCTGAAATGTTACCACCTTAGTGAATCCCCCAGCTCCGCTCCTCAGCTTGGCTCACCTGAGTGACTACCACCCTCCTGTTAAGTAGGAGCAGGTGTAGATACTTCCACATGATTCCTATTATTCTCTAAAGCAGACACTATATTTCTGCTAAAGTCCAATAAAAAGAAAAACAGCTTGGTAACAACTCTGCAAAGACTATAAATAAATATCTGTACTCTTGTGTTTGTGATAGTTACAAAGTGTTCTTCCAATAGTGCAATTTCAGGGCTGGGATATAGCTCAGTGGAACGGTGCCTGCCTGGAAAGCTCCAGGCTCTGAGTTCAATCCCCAGTACCAAAAAAAAAAAAAAAAAAAAAAAAAAGTACTGTTTGTCCTTATCTTGATGACTACAAGAGCTTCCAACTTGATTTCCCTGGCTCTGTTCTCCTATAGTGCCAATCCATGGTGCTTTTCATATATGTAGTAATTTCCATGATGCTCTGTTCATAAAGGGTTATGTATACACATATCGGGGATGAACACAAAATATGGTGAATGTTTAAATTTAAAATTTATTACAATAAAGGACACACTGCCCTTATTCCCCCTTGCTTCAACCATCCTTACTCCATTTACTTGCCACATTCTAAGACAGTTTTAAAAACCCTCTTTTCATAGTATCTTTAGTTGTGCTCTTACGGCTGCCTCAGTGTCCTGGGTCAATTCAGAACAATCACCTGCTGTGGTCACTTTGACATTAGGAAATAGCCAGGAGTCTCATGGTGCCGGATCTCTTGAATGAAGTGGGTGAGGACACACTGCAATGTTTTTACAAGCCGGTTTTTATTGGACAGAAGCAGCAGCATTCACCGCATGCTTTACTATACCTCAAAAGGCATTCGCAAAAGAGGACTTCCAGAGCTGCCTCAGAAAGTGGCCAGAATGATGGAGTGAGTGTATTCAGAGTGGCGGGGGTTAATGACAATGTGGTGCTGCTTTTTTTTTTTTTACTGTAGTAATTTTGTTTAATTTAAAGCCACCGTGTTTTTTGATCAGCCTGTGTGTGTGTAGACGTGTGTGCCTGTGTGTGTATGTGCGGAATCCATATGAGAATGTTTCCTCTATTTTTTGGCTTGGTTTATAGCATTGCTGATTCTTTAGCTGCTGAAATAGAATTTTTTATTCAGAATATGTGATGTCATTTTTAGGTGCATCATAGTGATTGGTAAATTACTAAATCTTGTAAATAATTGTAGCAATTTAGCTATTTAATAAATTGGAACATATTCAGGATTATCTAAGTAATAAATGTGTTAATTTCATTTATTTGAACTGACAAGATTTCTTGAGGGAGGTGGAATTGTTTCTCTCCGTATGGAAATCATACCTAAGCCATGTCTTACCGTGGGGTCTATCACACGGGCCAGGGAAGGAAATGTTGGCTCTCGCTTTTTTAAAAATTAATTTCTTTAAAATTAAAGGTACACCTAATGCTGGACTTTTATTTCTTTCATATAATCACAGTTCTCAGATATATGCTCTTTTTAATGTGTACTGCTTTATCCAGAAGTTTTCTTCAGGAAACTCATAGGGAATTTGTTACTATCTTACCATAGTTCACTATAATCTACCTAAAGTGTTAAGCCATTCCAAATTTTCCAACCTAAAAGATGAGAATATAATTATTTGCACGCTACCAGCTATAGATCCATAATGATAGATTTGAGAGATAGAAATATAGATTAATAAAATACTCAAACTAAGAATGAGATCAGAGACAGCCCAGATGCTTATCTGCCATCCTAAGGAAGGGATTTTGTCTTCCTGTTGTTTCTACATTTTCCCTCTAGTATTTGAAGCAAACTGAAATCAGGAGTACAGGTAACAATACACTACTGCAACTTCTATATGTGCCCTATTTTGCAATCTGCAGGAGAAAACAGACTTCTTTCTGAGGATCATCAGCGTGACTGGAATTAGGGTTGCAAGGAATGGAAAGAAATCATTTGGGCAACGTTGACTTTCAGGCAGTCAACACCTAGCCAGAAACTTTGTCAATCCCCACCAAGTCTGCATATATGCCCATGTTAGAAGAGCTTCCCAAATTATAAAATCTATTAACGTATTTCCAGAGGCAATTTTAAGAATGACAAGGGAAAATTCAAAGTGGTAGCCGAAAAGTTTGAGAGATTCACACAGTCGCTCGCCTTATCCATTTAACCCCACACCCATCCCGTTTTTAAAAAGAGCTGGCACATATCATTGGCTGGAAAGTTAGGCTTTGAGAAAAGTAGAGACTTCCCAATAGTTCTGTGGTCCCAAGTTCAGTATGAGAATGTTATCTCTACATTCCAAACTCAGCTTCTAGCCCTTGCACTGAACTGGCCCGCTGTAATGACTGGCAACTGGTGACACTAATAGAGTTCTGTCAGGTTTTCCCTCAGATTCCCCCTTCCTAACCACTCCTTCCAGGACTAAAGGTAGGTAGGAAACAAGGAAATGTCAATCTGAAATCCCCTGGAAGCCTCCGTCTGTAAAGGTTCTGAGGATTACAGGTAGGGAGCAATTCTTACCTCGATAGTACAACTGCTACTGATTTAAGCCAAAAAAGAAAAAAAAAATCACTTGTCCCAAGAATTCTCTTCTTACAGAACTGTGTTTTGACTCAGTTGAGAATTATATCAAAATAATTTTGATATCAAGGTGTTTCTGTGACTCTGTCAGCCATTGTTCAGAATGAGATACACCATGGGTTTAAAGGTTTATCCTGTAAGAACAGCACATACTAACTAGTCTAGGTATAGAAATGTTTAAGACCAGAGAACAGGCTCACATCTTCTTTACCCACTTGGGTGAACAGGGGCAGAGGAGTAGAGGTGTTGACAATTTGACTCAGTTTCTCTCCTTGGTAACTTCTGCTCAGCCCAGCTTCCCACCCCTGATCATTGGACCACCAGTTTGAGGCAAGCAGGCAATGCAGGTAGTGAATGATTTTCAGAGCCTTTTGTTGGTTTCCTTGTTTTTTCCAGTAGCAGGGATCGAACTCAGGACCTTGCATTTGCCAGGCAGGCACAGTCACACTGTGAATGAGAAACATTACAATTCCAAAACATTTTCCAGTATGTGATTTTTTTAAAAATCTCAATATCAAGTAACAATTTTTACTGGCTGACATTGGCTTCCTAACTCCAGAATGTCGAAAAAATATTCTTGGATTGAATAAGAGTTTCAGGAAGTGATTTGCAAGAATAAATACCAACACATGCATGCAGGAAGGAGTAATGGCTTATATATAAGCCTTCTTCCTTCTTAAAACAGTTCCATATTGCTCGATCAATCCACAAATTTCAAACATTCTTCCATCTAGCCTTATAATGTCTCTTCAAAGTAGCTATATATTATTCCCATTTAGTGGAAGGTGAAAGTATTTGTTTTTGTGTTATTTCAAGTTTTAGAAATTCCCAATGGCGTGTGCTGGGGATCGAACTCAGGTCCTCGTGCTTGCGAGGCAGGAGGCGAATCACTGAGCCAATTCCCTGGCTCCCAAATGTTTTGATATGCATTCCCTATGAGGAAAATATTCTGTCTTCAAACTTCGGAGTGAATGATAAAGGCACCCATGAAAGAACATCAAAGTGTAGACTAGCACTGTCCAAGGAAGGTGGGTCGTGAGCTGACCAGCGCTTGCAGAAGGAGACCATACCTGTATACACCACTACCCTGGTGTCCTGTGGTGGCCCTAGACCATGCTCACAGCAGGACCGCTCCTGAAGCGCTGCCCTCCTGAGTGGGACCGAAGGGTGATGGACTAGTGAGGTACAGAGGTCACTCCGTAGGTCCTTACTTCCACAGCCTGTGTGGACTTTAAGTGCTCACACTGTTCGTGTAGAAGGATGTCAGCGTTTGTTGCACTTCCTCCTCTTAGACTAATCTGTAGGTAGAGATCGCCATTCCTTTCCTAGGCAAGCGAACAGAAGTGTCTCGGCCAACGGGAAAGGCTCAGACCCCCTTTGTGAGGAGATACCGCGCCAAGCCATTAACAGGGCTGTGCTATTGCAGGGTCACCAATGATGGCAGCGAAGAGCAACAAGAGGGACCTGTCTGGTGCAGGAAAGGAAGATTCCTTTTCAAGTGGACATGAAAGCACATTAAGCTACTCGAGTTTTGCTGTCAGGTAAGAGCCTCAGAGAAGCCTGAAACCTGTGGTTTCCGCTGAATCACTCAGCAGCAACACTTTTGACTTGAACCGGAATATCTGCTTTATACGTTTCCACATAGAACAATGGAAACATTCCTCACCAGAATCAATGTCTCTCTACTCCCATACAGTTAAGTTAAGCAAATATACCTCTTCCCACTGGCTGTTGCTCTGATCATCTATATCCATAATCACCGAAGGTTAAGTAACCAAACTTTCTTTCAGTTTACCATCAGGGACTGTAGAAATCGCAGTTAGGACCAGACTTTAGGTATTCCCAAAAAGCTTTTCTATGACGAATACATGCTCTATCTTCAATAGATTGATGTTGAGATTGCCTAGGTTTTTGCATCTGAAAATTAGGGTCAACAAATCCTTCCTCCCCTGCTGTCTTTTCTCTGCAGTACATTAAAACTTCTGGGCCAGAGATTTAGCTCAGTCGTGCCACCCACTGCCTAGCAAGCACAATCCCTAGTACAAAAAAAAAAAGTTCTACTAACCAGTAAGCAAGCTTGGAGATGGACAGTGAGGTAATCTCCTAGTTTTCTTAGCTAATTTGTAAATAAAAGGTCAGTCCAAAACATTTTGTCACTTCAAAATAACTGTAATACATTTGCAACATTTCAGTTTAGCGGGATAATGTATTAGTAAAATCTTCAAGGATTGATAATTGTGACCATCTAAAGAAAAATAGTATATTATCAGTAAAATATAACCATTATGCTCTAACATTACATAATTCACACAATAAATATTTTTAAAATTTTTTGAAATGAATTTTATGTATTTAAAATGCTTGGCTAGTAGTCATTGTGCAAAACAGTACAGCAGCTCTTCAAAAAATTAAAAACAGGGCACCTATGATACAGAGAAATCTCATTTCTGTGTATTATCCAGAGCAATTTGAATCAGTACTTCAAAGAAATTTCCAAACTTTCATGCTCATTGAAGCATTATTCGTTAGTTAAGATATAGAATTAATTTCAGTGGCTGTCAAGACATAAAAAGATGAAATGTGATGTCCATCCACATTCTCAAGATGGACTCTTAATCACCACTCAAAAAAGAAGGAAACCCTGTCATTTGTAACCACATAAATGAACAGGGGGCCACAAGGAAAGTGAAGGAAGGCAGACACAGGAAGACGAACACCTCGGCTCCTATTTGTATGATCAACTTGAAATACAACTCATAAACACACATAGGAGGGTGGTAGTTGTCAGACATTGAGATGTGGATATTACTAAGTGATCATTAAATGTCCCTCATTTCAATAATCAGCTTTTATATCTCAAAGTGAATGAAATTGGGGTGAATACGTGTAGAGCTTTCCAAGGGAATGGATTTTGAAATAGAACTTTTACTTCATCTTGTTTGTGATATAATTTACCTCTTTCTTTTAACCTGTGAAGAATCATGCTCCTATTTAACTGATGATTCTGGATCTGTGGGTTGGTTGATAGAGGTTGCACTATACCTATACCCACAGGTATGGTGGGCATCTAAAGTATGGGCCACCACAATGCCAGCATGTCACAGCTGCACTTTTTAAAAGGACTATAAAAGTCTAGGACTTTCTGGCCTGCCTTGCTTTTCATTCCAGAGGTTTTGAAGCTAGATGAGGTATTTTGTGAGAAGGGACTAAGAATAAGTTCAAGAGAAGGTTGTAAGGAATCTCAATTCAGAGTTAGCCTCATTATTTCCAACAACTCAGTAACTGTCAACTAGCATTGGGATTTACGTGGTTTTTCCTTTAAAAATACTTGGCAAATGGGCACTTATTGTGTATGCTCTATGCTAAGCATTGGGCCAGATGCTTTTGTAGATGTAGAAATCGTGTTTCAGCCTCTTTGCAATCTAGTCCAATAAACAAGATGAATACCTGTAAAATAAATCGGATCGTCAATAAAATAACGTTTGTTCAAGTGCTACATTGAAGGTTATGGCAAAAGGTCACAGGAGAAAAAGGCTGACGCTGGGTAGATTTTCCTGAAAAGCTTCCTGTGTCAAGTGGGATTTGGAGAGGTGAGAGAGAGAGTGGGACCTGAATGCTCACAGACGGTGCAACCTGGTCGAGGCGTGGAGGAAGGTGGTACCTCCCGTACACCAGTGAGTCGGCTCCCGTAGAGTCCTGGGAGAAGTAACATCTCCTATTTCCCAAGAACACATTCTCGGCTATTGGTCTTGCGCCTGTGTGTCTGTGTACATTATGTTTATGTTAATGCAAAGTTGTTACAAAAACATGATTCAAATTTGAAAGTTGCTTGGAGCAAATGAAGACAACATATGTGAGAACACAAAGTGCTCCAGTCATGTCTGATTTCATGAATTCTCTCATATGTCTTATCTGTGGCAGCGAAGGCCTCACTCGTCAGGAACAACCAGGAGCCATGAAAAATTCTTAGATGGAATTTTAGGCATTTAATTTCCTTGGCTTTGCTCATTATTTCTAATGCAGCTAGGAGAGCTAGGAGTAACTCAACCTGCTGGTTTCCTCATTGTTTTCAATTCCTCGATTGTCTGTGATAAACAAGGAAATGATCTAAAATGGATGTCTAAGCATGGATTAGTCTAGCGGGGGCAGGCCCATCTGAAGACCTGGTTTATCTGCCTTAGATCTGGTTGAGGATCTCTCAGTATGCTTTGAAAGCTCCCAAAGAAGACCCAGAAATCAGATCACCTTTAAAATTAGATTTTGTGGGGCTGGGGATTTAGCTCAGTGGTTCCACCACCTGCCTCGCAAGTGCAAGGGCCCAAGTTCAATCCCTGGTACCAAGGGAAAAAAAAAGGATTGCTTAAAAAAATAGATTTTGCTTTCTGTGCTTGTAATTAACCATAGTTATCTACAATTCCCAAATATTAAATGAAAAATTCTGGAAATAAAGTTCATAGATTTTAGATAACTTATTTTAGCATAGTCATAATTGTTCTGTTTATTATTGTTTGTAACCTCTCACTATGCCTAATTTATAAATTAAGCTTCATCATAGGTATGTATGTAGAGAGGGGAGAAAAGCACACTGTATATAAGGCTCCATGTTACCTGTGCCTTGATACATCCATTGGGAGTTTGAGCCCATCCTGTGTGGATAAGGAGGGACTGCTGTGTTTACTTCACTAGATAAGTGCCCTTGGAGGATGAGTTTCTGGTCGGTTTCATTTCCAGGGCAAGAATAACTCCTGATAGCAAATTAGTGAACATACATCTCTGGTAACAACAAGTACACAATAGTCTGGGTGGCTTTAATAGAGACAAGTAGGCATTATTGGAAAAAATGTAAAATGTGTGTGCTATTTATGATCATTTTTGAATTACACTCATCCTCAAACCAGAATGTTGTTTATACTTTCGCTGACAATGGGCTCAGTGTTATTAAAGATGAAATCTTCTGGCCACCAGTGAGTTTTCCAGCAAGTTCAAGAGCTACTGGCTTCTATTCTTACAGCACTATAGACAGCTCTAACTTACACAGTACAGACCAACATTTCATTGTATCCTTGGTGTCTTTTTCCCCCATAGACTAAGCAATGCTATAAATAGTAGTTAGGCTCTCAGACAGGTACACAAAAGACCATTTAACATATGGAGGTTAAATATATATTTGTTGATGAATGAATAAACAGACACTACCTCTACTCAATTGAAGTCTCTATCCTTAAATCAAGGGTTCATGTGATATATGAAAGAGAAGGTAAATACTTTCTACTTCTATTCAGGAAGATGAAGTTAGACCTGTGCAAAATTTTATGAAAAATGTACTTCCTGGCACCCTTTGCTTTAGCTTTCAGTTTCTTCACTGTGATCACTCTACTTTGGATGAGCTCAGGAGAACTCTGCACATTTCACTTGTTTGTCAATTATTTACTACTCCCTGCCTCTTTTCTCTCAAAATTCACTTCTTTTGTAAAACTGATTTCAATTAGATAATAGAAAGGAAAGATTCAGGTAGAACCATTTCATAGTATGTTGTGTCTCACCATAACCACTCTAAGTCATTCATCCTCTTAAAAGAATAGTTATAAACTCAAGTAAATATTGAAAGAAGTGTAACCAAAGAAGCAAGAGCAGGCTGAAATTTCCAACCAGCTTGTGATGGACCTGGGCCAGGAGAGGGTACCATTTTTAATAGCAAGATGTGTCTTGTTTGAGTATGTTAGTCTTTCCCTAAGAATCTTCCCTCGGAGTCTGTGTAAATCAACTCCCACAGATCATACTGAAATCTAAACTTTCTCACAGGACTTCCTTTCCCCACCATCTTAGTGACACCTGTGAATAAGATCGTGTTCGTGCTATCAATCTCATTTTCGTAGTCTCCATGTCCTTTTAGCAATATCGCAGACCATGCGTATTCTTATCTCTGTTTCTCACTGTTCAGCCCAACTTCAGTTCTCTAAAGGCCAAGTGGTCCACACGCACAAATGCAGGCACGAGCCTCAGACCCTCATCCTCTTTATCGTTGAAGCTTCAATCTTTTTATCTGTGAAATGGGATAATATTAGAACCTGAGTAATTGAAACTGTGAGGACTGCACTATGAGAGACAGATGAGGTTTTTATGTAGCGCCTGTTGCATAGTGAAGCACAGCAGGTGAAAAATGGTCCAGGTTGCTACACAGTCTTCGTTTTCCTGTCATTATCTTTCTGGCTGTTGGATTTCCATGCTTTTGTGATCAATCTCAGTCCTACTTTGGGGGGAGAATATAATGTAAGACTTCATTCAGAGTCTCCTACACTCCTTCTGCCATGCGAGTGTGGCACAGGGACTTTCTCTGGGCTGGGGCTCCGCCACATGGAAGCCTGCCTGTGCCTTGCCGCTCTCTCCCAGGCTTCTGCAGGCGACTCTAGCTTCGGCCGTGCCTGCCTCTGCATACCTTCCAGCCACCGAGGCCATGGCAGGGCAGTTTCCTGAGCACAGTGTAGCCCACCCGGCAGAACCGCTGGCCACAAGAGGCCACCCGCACTGCTTCTCTTCTGTC